ATATATATATTATCCCTCCATATTATCTTTTCATTTATATATCCATCCCAAGCAAAAAGCCTAGCACAAATTATTTTTAAATTGTAATGGATCACAGTCTAATGTGGAAAAAGAAAACCCATATAACCTTATTTGCCAAAGTACCTGAAGATCACAAGATGAGTTAACAAATATAAATAGTCACATTAAACCAATCATGTTTTGCAAAAAGAAAAAACAGAGAAAAAGAAAACATTTGGCAGGAGAAAGAAATTCTGTAGTTTCATGAGGAAAACAATTTCTGCCAGCCCAGATTCTTACTCCTGGGCTAACATCCCCACTGAAACAAATGTATGACCTTTTATTGAGTGAGATCTGAAAATCTGAGAGTGAGAGTCCTAAATCTTTTTTCCTTGAGTAAATCAAAGAAAGTTTCATGTTTTCCTCTATTAACACCATATATAAACTAAAATTTAACTCTGAAACTTTACTTGACCCCTAGAAAATAGAAACAAAATAAAAAATGTTCATTTGAACATCCCATCTCAGGGTATTTATGTCAGTACAGGAAAAACACTTTAGTTTACCTAATTTATTCTTAATGCCAAATAGTCTGTATCCCTCCCCCCACCCATTTTAAGGACTGAATCAGAAAATGGTCTAGTAGTCTCTCTCAAATTTGCTAAAAAATCAATTGAGGATATAAATTATCAAAAGTGGAATGGACATTTCAAATAGTCTTGAACCTCTCTGTCCATTTAATGGTTCAATATAGGCAAGTAGCAATCATTGCATCCTTTAACCTTCTAGTTCATTAATTAGGAAATAAATGAAATTAAAAAGGGATGTTACATCTATGTATGAAAGAAAATGCATGTGTAATTTATAAATATTAATTTCTGTAAGATGGCATATTATTGATTGAAAATATCATTAACAGATATATTGGTAATAAAAATAATCAAGATATATAAATACATTTTCTTTTACTCCTACCCCAAATTTAGGTTCTTTTCAATGTAACAGTTACAATGAAGAGATGTGATGTCACAGGAGGAAAAAGCTATGCAATTATCAAACCTATTGGTTTCAATGAAACCACTAAAATTCATATACACAGAAACTGCAGCTGTCAGTGTGAAGACAGCAGAGGCCCTAAAAGAAAGTGTGTAGATGAAACTTTTCTAGATTCCAAGTGTTTCCAGTGTGATGAGAATCAATGCCATTTTGATGAAGATAAGTTTTCTTCTGAGAGTTGCAAGTCACACAAGGATCAACCCGTTTGCAGCGGTCGAGGAGTTTGCATTTGCGGGAAATGTTTGTGTCACAGAATTAAGCTTGGAAAAGTATATGGAAAATACTGTGAAAAGGATGACTTTTCTTGTCCATATCACCATGGAAATCTGTGTGCTGGTGAGTATAAATATATACATGCAATTTTTTCTAGTCACTATTAAACTACCTTATATGTTAAAGTATCTTTAAATCACATCTTTATAATTACTAAGCCTGAATCTAAATTTAATATTTAAAGTCTGTGAAATTAGAGCATGGCAAGAGATTTGTACCACATGATTCTGATATTTATATTTTAAATCATTCTGTACAGTAAATACTGAAAACTAAAAACCAAAATTAATTCTTACCAAGTATGCCTTGACCTTTTAAAAATATATACCAGGAAAGGAAACTACTGATGCTGTCCAACAGATTTTCTATAATCAGGGTATTCTTCTTCATTCTCATAAGTGGTCACTCCCTCCAGCTTACTCAGAAGATAGTGAGCTATAAAAATATACTTTTCATTCACTGGAAAATTCATAAGGCATTATTATAGATGGTATTGCAAATATGTAGTAATTTAAACCTCTCCAGTTTATTTTTGGAACAACGCCAGTAACAGAATTGTCAAGAGTCAGCATTTTTCAAGAAAATACTGGATTTATAAGTAATCTAGTTTAGTCCCAGAGGCCACACACAGACCAACTTTTAAAATAAAATCATTTAAAATGAAAATATCAAAAGTAGACTTTTGGGCTAATTCAGTTTACTGCCACCTAGAGGTTAGATTCCAGGAAAATCTATTCAGCATTTAAAAATTAATACAAATTATTATTTTTAAAAGAATTGATTTTTCAGGACTGTGCTAAATCCACTGACTGTTAAAACACCATCTTAGTGTTTGCCTTTTGGTAAGCAAATATTAATTAAATTATGAACTGAAATTATTTCATTGTCATAAGCAAATGGAAAGTAAGAAATCTGTACAAAATAAATTTTCTATTCTTTCGTAAGCCAAAAATTTGCCCTATATCACATAAATATGTGATGAAAATTGTCTTTTTATTCTAATGTATACACAAAATATTTTATATTCCAAACATTAATTCAGCTCTACCTGCTATCATGGGTAGAATAGATTATAGATGATTTTAGAGAACAAACCTGTAATTATCTGCTAATGTTTTAGAGCTAACCCTGTTTGGGACAGGGAAGAGAAACAATTCTCAGATCATTTCCCACAGCTGTCAATCTCTCAAAGAAGTGTGAAATACATTGAGAATCCCAGTCTCTGTTCATAGTAAAATATCAAAAATCAAAGTACTAGCTCTTCTATATGACTACGGACACACGGGTAGTTGAGAATCTGCTTTGAATTATTTGTGCATAAATTATACGTGCACACTGTAGGCTGACAAGCGTTTTCCTCACTAGTCCCCTTTGAGAATAGAAACACATGTTCACAGGTCGGCTGGCTAGGATGCGTCGTGCAGCCGGCTTACGGGGAGCAGGATCTGGCAGGCGCTGGTTTGGCCTGGACCTCATTATTGGGTTGTCGGAAAAGTCATGATGCATTTTTGCAGCGAAAAGCATAGAAAACTACGTCATGACTTTTCTGACAACCCAATAGTTTTACGCTTAGCAAATTGAGCTGATCCAACAATAGACTCTATGCAACAGTTACCGGTGAGGTGCTTTGCAATAAAAGGAGGGAGGAAGGAAGCCATGAGAGGGAGGGCGGGAGGGCAATATCTGTGGCTAAATAAGCTCGAGAAACACTATATAACCCTGTAAAATGTACCCCTCTTAAAGATTTCTAGTTCCCATTAGCATATTGTTTTGGATACTTTTGCAGTCTAAAATCCATTTAACTACATATAACCAGTGTTTTCCTCAACTTCTTTGTCCCCGATGCCAACACACACATCTACTGCCTTGCTTTCTCTCTTGAGCTTTCTCATTACCACCTGATAATAGGTCACAGCACACTTTTGACATGTGCCACCAATCTGCAAAATAATGTCCTGTGAAAGGATTAATTCAACTTCCTTGGAGAGTTTATCTTTAAACATAGCAGCAGCGGAACTGAAGCAATAGGGTTTGCCTCATGGACTTGAAAGTTACCCCAGGCCCTTGGCAATAATGAGAGACTAAAAGAATAAATTATGGAAGCTATTAATCAAATACCACTTGTTTTTTGGATTTCAAGTCAGACAATTGACATTACTTCAGTCTTTGTAGCTTCTTTATATGTGTGTTTTTCATTTAAAACCGAATGTGCAGTGACCTTCCAGTAGCAGGGCAGCCACTGCAGCAGCCCAGACTTCACGATTGTCAGCACCATACAGTAATATCGGGGGATTTTCTACAATAGAACGGCTTTGAAAACAGACACTCCTACGTCCTGGCATTGTTTATCTCAAATAGAAAATGATGCTGTTTCCATTCACTTGACTGGCAGTGTGTTTCCATGGAGATGGGAGGGGAATTCATGTTTGGAAACGCTTACAGAGTCCATGGCCCCAGTAACTTAGGTTTGGGGGTCTTTGTTGCAGGGCATGGAGAGTGTGAAGCAGGCAGATGCCGCTGCTTCAGTGGCTGGGAAGGGGACCGGTGCCAGTGCCCGTCCACATCAGCCCAGCACTGTATCAATCCAAAGGGCCAAGTGTGCAGCGGAAGAGGCACGTGTGTCTGTGGCAGGTGTGAGTGCACAGATCCCAGGAGCATTGGCCGCTTCTGTGAACACTGCCCCACGTGTCACACAGCCTGCAACGAAAACTGGTATGTGTCTCTGACGCCAAACACACATCAACAGTCCTTCGTTATAGCGATGTTTATCCTTTTTTATTCTGCCTCCCTTAATCTTAGAAGTTACTGGATCTTCTCCAACAGATAAGTGGTTATCATCATGCTGAAAAAGAACTGAATGGGGGATCTGGGAGTCAGAAGACTTAGATTCCAGTCTCTGGCCACTAGATAGCTGTGGAAGTACCAGAATTTATGTAGGCATTCACTGCCTTAGCTTTTTTAAGTTAGGTTTTTTTATAAAAAGAATAATACTCAGTGTTTGTAAAGGTTTATTGGGTTTATTTCCCCAGCTTTATTGAGATATAATTGACATATAATCTTATGCAAGTTTAAGGTGTACAATGTGGTGAGTTGGGGCTGCCTGCTCCTCAGCTTAATATTAATTACCTGTTTGACTTAGGGCAAGTTGTTGACATTCTCTGTCCCTCAGTTTCCTGTGTGAATAATAATAATGACTTGCTCTAGTTCTGTGAAAGAACTAAATTAGATGATTCATGTTTAAAAAAAACAAAAAAACTTTGTACTTTGTGTACAGTAATCATAGAATGTTAGCTATTCCATAGTTTTATTTTTATTAAATATAAAGAATGATGGTGGTTATGAAGCACTGTAGAAATAAGTGATGGATAAATGAAAGGTTATATGTTAAGTGAAGGTAGCGTTATTGTTTTGTGCCAAGAATTAATTTTCCAATAACAGTTTGAGTCCTGCTCGAAGACCACGACTCTAAACCTCACTGTGCCTTCCAATTTGTTTTATTCAAATTTTTAAGACCTTCACTTTCTTGGATTGGTAGCTCAAGTAAATTTTTTTAAATTACGCTTAGCAATTTTTGCTCTCTTGCAAATGCAGTAAACATAATGATGTGGTTATTTCTAATGAACCCAACAAAAATTTGAACTGTGTATTCTTTGCTAAACTTGTCTAGTAGTGTCTTAATATTCATCTTTTAAAACATCTATATAGGCTGGTTTTGTGTGTGGTGACAGTGTCTTATTTATCTCCTAGAGATTTTCTGAAGATAGAAAAATCATTGTTTTGATTATATACATTATTAAACTATTTTAAATGGTTAGAAAGTAACTTTGCCATGGCACTGAATGCAGCCAAGATTATGAATAAGTGTCATAGCTTTCTTCCCCAGTTTTACAAGGCTACTGTCCTAAAGCAGTTCTCTATTTTATTTCTTGTAGAAAATACTACGGGCTACAATCTCATTAACTATTGTATATTTTCACTTCTGTTTCCCCTTACAGGAATTGTGTGCAATGTCTTCACCCTCACAATCTGTCTCAAGTTATACTTGATCGATGTAAAACCTCATGTGCGTTCATGGAACAGTATCATGCGGACCAAGTATCAGGTGAGCCAAAGCTTAATAATCAAAGCTCTGAAAAAGTATCTGTAGTGAATCCTGTTCCCCCAAAGGGCCCAGAATCAACATCCTAAAGAATGGACCGGCTGCTTCAATGTTTTCCATCTCCCAGAGGTGGGACTCTGCAAAACTGAATTGTTACAACTCCCATCTCAGCTAAATTTCCATGCTGTGCATCTCCACAGAAGCACACACACACAGATTTTCTAGAGAGGCCTCAGTGAGCCAGGACTAGGAGGTTCCTATGTAGAGTCCATTTAGAGACAAGATCTATGGAGCCATAATTATCCTTCATAACCCAAACTTGCTTCTACCTATTTGAAGAAAGCTAAAGTAATCTCTAGCATTTATTCAGCAAATATCTGTTGCATGCTTACTACGTAGGAAGCACTCTACAAGTGTTGGGGATACAGGACCTCACGGAGCTTAGTCAGGTAGCCTTGAAATAAAACCATATTTTATAGGTAATGAGGCAGTACCCTCACCTTTCCTCCATATTTAAATACCTTCCTCATGTCAAACCAACATTTACTTACATGTTTCAGGTGAAGCCAAAAAGTTCTAAGCAGCTTAGAATTCTGCTTTTGCAAAGTGCATAGCTTCAAAAGCGCTATTCCTTCCTGGTACTTTTCATTCTGATATAAATGAAATGTAGGGTGAGTGATTATAAAGGCAGCACAACAGAAAGGGTATGGAACTTGGTTTAAGACATGTCCCTTGACACTAGCAACTAAGAATATTGGTCCTCTTAAAATATTTCCTTCAGCCTCAGTTTCCTCATCTGTAAAAAGGCAGCAATACCAACTTCAGAATTGTGTAAGATTAGATGAGCCAGTTAACATGGAAGAAGTATGTAAATTTAAAGATGACACATAAACGACGGAAATATGTGAGAGCTACGTTCGAAGACCATTTTTAAACAAAATTCATTAGAACCCAAAAGCCAGCACCCTGCTTTCTCAGATGTAAGGTGTTAAGCTACACATGGATTAGAAATCAAACTTGAAATTTGTTTTCACCGAAAACATTCATACTGCTACTATTATTTGTAGTCTCTCTTCCGACCTGTAAGAATAATTCCAGCTCTTAGAGAGAGTGCACAGAAAAATAAGCTTTCTCCAAAGTTTTGTTTCCTTCTTCCTTCATCTCCACACTGATCGTAGCCCATAATGAATTTGGCTCTGAAAACAGCCCATGTGCTGCCAGCTGGGGCTGTAGCAATCACTCCAGACAGCCAAGTGCCTTTTCTAATAAATAGAGCCCTTACTGTCAACATGTCATTTATTATGTTAAGTAAACAAACCTACTGTGACCTAAGTGTGGTTACAGAAAGTATTCCATTAAAGCTCCTTAGGAAAAGCCCTTGCTTGACCTAAACTATGAAGAAAGCCATGGCCAGGGCTTAGTGTTTGGCTATCCAAAATGACATTTGAAAATGCACGCAGCTTTGGGCCCTGAAAATGTCCTCTGTCTAACACATTAGAGATATTTCCAAAATGTATTGGTAGCTAGGGGCCTCCCTTCCCCTTCACAACTATTGTGCAAGGAGAGAGGAAGGGCATTTGTTAGCCACTTCTCTTATCTATCCACTCAATCACACTTAAAGGGTGTTCTCTGGTCTTTCTGGCTAAGCTGCCTCCAGGCAAGAAGCCAGTAAGTGGGATCAAGCCACCTGCCCCCTATGAGGATCTGCCTTAACTGCCTGAGTAGTTCTACAGTAAGTCAGGCAAGGAAACGACAGTCTGTCGGGATGAAAGGTGTGCATGTCACCACCTTAGGGTGACTGTGGAAGGCTCCAAGGGCATCCCCTTTGAAAAGAGCATCTTAGATTCTCTGTGTGTGAGATCTGTGACAAAGGGGAACTTGTATTTGCGTTTGGTGCTTCTATACCAATTAGTATCCTCCAGCCTCCTTTTAACCTTTCTTTCAAGGAATCTTATCACTGACCAAAAGCAGACTGGGCTCTAAGTCTTCCCACTTGGAGGGGAGCTCTTCCTTTGTTACTGAGTTCTTGGCTTATTCAAGAGCACGCTTGGTCACCCCTGGGAATTCAGACACAAATCACCCATGACTGGATGATCGCTTTTCTAGGCCTTGGCAGGTCCCCTTCTGAAAGGCCCTCTCACAGAGACCTTCAGACATTTAGGTGAAGTCCCCAAGGTCTGGAGAATACGCAGAAAACACATGCCTCTTTAGGCCAGCAGGTAATTTTGTGAGCCTGGGGCAGCTGGTGAGTTCTGTGGAATACTCTGGTATTGCACAACCATGATCCTCTTGGATTTGGGTAATACCTCTGGCAGCCACAGAGTCTGTAGACTTTCCAACTAGAGTTTACCAAAGGTCTAGTGCTAAAACAGACCTAGCAGGCCCCCCACCCCCTTAAGGCAGCATATTCTTTTCCAGATAGTAATTATTTATTCTTGAAAAACCACACAGTGGGATTTTTAGAAGCAAGATAGGATAGATTTGGTTAACAGACAAGTAAAAAATAAAGTCATAAAAACTGAGGAAAGAGAATTGCGTATTGTCCTGAATTGGACATTCCCATTTCCTAGAGAAGCTGTGTATAATAATCACATAGAGTTACACTGAAACTTCAAAGGAAATATTTATTCGTCTATTAGAGTAGTACTGATTTTAGACTCTGCAGATGTTTACTTTACTTCCCATTACTGGTGTGCAACAAATGAAGAGCAGGCATAACAAGAGAAATATAAGCTCATGAGTAGAGCTGTTAAATAATTTTTTAAAATCCCATTTTCCACTAGTGATCAAGGGTACACATCACAAAAACTGTCTCTCTTTGTCATGGATAAAATTATATTTGGTTAAGGGGTTTGAACATACCGTATTTCCGCTAGTACAACTACAGAATCAAGCTGCAAAGAAATGCTCTTGTAAAATACCTTAATGTGGCTATTCTCCAAAGGAGAGTTTTATGTTGAAAATATTTTAATAATAAATGTTTAATAAAAATTAGAGTGTTTACTCTTTGAATCAACAGCAATGGCAGTCCTATGTGTTAAAAATGTAGATATGCAAATATCTCTGGTCCTATTAATTGAGACGGTGAACACTGTTTATTTGCTTGTTGGAATCCTTTGATTTGCTCATCCTAGTTTTTAATCCTTTTTTTTTTTTTGCTTCATTACAGAATGTTTCTCTAGCCCAAGTTACTTGAGGATATTTTTCATCATTTTCATAGTTACATTCTTGATTGGGTTGCTTAAAGTCCTTATCATTAGACAGGTGATATTACAATGGAATAGTAATAAAATAAAGTCCTCAGCAGATTACAGGGTGTCGGCCTCAAAAAAGGTCAGTGAATTCTAAAAAAATAATTACTATCAGTATGTTATTGTCTACGTCCAATATTTAGGTCCTTAATTAATGATAATATTTCCTCTCCATCAAGGACAAGATGATTCTGCAAAGTGTTTGCACAAGAGCAGTAACGTACCGACGTGAGAAGCCTGAAGAAATAAAATTGGATATCAGCAAATTAAATGCTCACGAAACTTTCAGGTGCAACTTCTAGAAAGATAAAAAGTACTTTATAGGAAACTGGATTTTTAATAATTGCTCCTAAAAATTATAATTTTAGAAGTCACAGGAGGAGACTGATTGTTCCAGATCATGCCAGTTGCTGGCTGTCCACTCGAACGAAGACTGACAAGCGTCCTCATCACCATGTGACTCACATCGCTGCTGAATTTTTCAGAGAAAAATGTGTCTTACTACTGTTTGAGACTAGTGTCATGGTAGCACTTTACTGTAATATATAACTTATTTAGGTCAGCATAGAATGTAGATCATCTGAAGAGCACTGATTACACTTTACAGGTACCTGCCCTTCCTACGCTTCCCAGAGAGACGCAGTGCTGTGAGGCGGCTTTGGCATTGTATCACTACAAGGGTACAGTAATCCCTGCATGGAACGTGCAACGGGAAATAATAATAAGGCAGTTACATTCATGTTGCCGAACACTTCAACAACTGGCAGTGAAGCACCAAGAAAAGCCAGATGAGTAAATGGTTAGTGTTTCACTCATGCAAGAGGTGAAGAGATGAAACCTTAATCTTGAGGGATATTGCTTTTGAAACTGAGTAGTTTTAGGCATGTGGTTTGTCTTCTTCCTTTTACAAGACGGATACTAATTCCAACATTCTCTCCCCTTTGCCTTTATATATTTTGGTTTTCTTTCTTACAGGATAAGTTTATGTCACAGATGACTGGATTAAATAAGTGCTAAGTTACTACTGCCATAAAAACCTAATACAATGTCACTTTATTAGAATACTGGTTTTAAAAGCTGAATGTTTAATAAGGGACGTTTTTATTTCACATCAAAATTTGAACAGCTTCCTTGTTTGCAGATGTGGAGTTTTATATCTTCTTTCCTGGTAAACTGGATGGACTGTTACACCATTTCATTGAAGCATCACGTTAAAATTCACAAGATATTTAGAAACTCTGCCTCAAGCAAAGTGCCACACTTTTGAGTGCATTTTCTCAGATATTTACTACAAGTAGATATTAGCATTTTTCAAATTAAAAGCTATATTATTTTTGCCCTTCCATGAAGCCTAAGGATATTCTTTCCCTGTATCACCTCAACACCACTTGCCAGAATTCTAAAAGGATGCAATTGGAGGAGGATAGACGATATCTGAGAAATAAGCTAATGCACCCTTTGAGTTAGTCAGGGAAACAAGGCTCAGAAAGTTTAAATGATTTCTCAAAAGCCTTCCCAGTGATTAAGTGGCAGCATTCAAAGAGAACTCCTATCTTCATATTGACAGGCTAGTGGTCATTGTATAACATCATTCTACCTCTTGAATCTTTGAAATATCCAATTGGCAAGTATTGTTAAATGTGATTTACTAAAGTCTTAAATATATGGGCATGAGAAAACTTCAAAGCAAAGCTGAAAAGAGTAATTCAAACTGAATTGGCATGACTGGCTTCCAATCTTTCCTGCGATCAACTTCGAAGAGCAACGTAATTACAGGGAGATCTAGTCACACCTTAGCCTGTGTGACCAGCGCCCCCTAGAGTTGTGCAGAGCTCAGCCCGAGAGATTGATACAGAGGCCATGAGCTTTTCATCTTCCCCAATGGAAACCTCTTCGCAGTTACCATATCCAAACAGACTTAGTCTGGTTTTTCTGGCTACAAGTCCAGCAGTTCTGTGTGGGGACAAAGCTTTGCCTATGACGACACTGTCTTAAAGTTAACTTCCCAGATTTGCTATCTTCCCAGCACTTGAGTTAATCACAGTGCTAGATATTTGCATTTCAATGAAGACTAACCCCCACCCCATATTCTACCCTAAGGAGCATTTTAAAACATGTAATAAATTGATCTGGAGCCAACAGCGCAGCTCCATTAGCAGCTCCCTAAAGCCAAGCAATTAAGACTCCAAGTTGAACTGTATTTCCTTCCCCACATGACACTGGGGACATAGATAGAATTCAGTACTGTGACTCACTTGTGTAAGATGCCCTTAATCACCAAGGATAACGTAAAAATCATTTCGCAGCCTGCCTGTCACACAGAGCATCTTTTTTAAAAAGGAAAATAAATGGATACTTGACAGACTCCCAAAAGGAAATAGAAAAAAATAAATCCATTTATTAAAATGCTGACAATTTTAAAAAAGAACATTACAATGTTCATAAACTAATTTTCATGTGGAATGAATTACCCAAAAAAGCATAATAATATGAAAGCCCTAAAAATTCAGGGTTTATATTTTTACACTCTCACTAGTTTGCACTAATTTATAATGGACCGAGGCTGTTATCACAAGAAGGAACAAACTTCCTGATAGGCAGTTCAATGCTAGATGATGACTGTCGTTATGCTTGCGATGTCTTGTGCTTTCTTTTTTTCACTTAAAGATCTAATTCTTAAAGATTTTAGAGCTTCTATTTTACTTGAATAATTGATATTTTCTTGTATAATGGCTTGTGAGAAGAGAATTAATATTTGACGAGTTAGAATTAATTAAAAGGTAAGGGAAAACAGGGTATTCTTAGATTAAATAATATTTGTAAATAGAGCCTATTTTCAACTAATATGACCACAGGAGCCTTTTGAGATTCACTGATGTTAAACACAAGTAAAGAAATTTTAAATGGTTGGCAAAGAACTTGACCATTTTTGGTACGACAGCATTTCTGTGCCCTAACATATGTAATGATTTAGAAATGTGCCATACATACACTACAATATAACTGTATGCATTTTATTTCTCTGGGGACATCTTTACACTGCAGTGTGCATGGATTTATAAGCATTTGATATCATTTTGAAAATTTATGAATATTTATAAACTCATAGATATTCTCCATAAGACTCAAAAATTCACTAAAAATCTGATTATGTCCTAAATGTTTGATATAGCTTTGGTTAATAACAATTAAAAAAAATCTAAAGCTAAACAGAATAGATTTCTCTAGCGGCAAATTTTTCAAAACTCAAAATTAAAACTAGTGTATACATTAGATGCAACACTTCACTGAAGAATAAATTTCAAATATTGGGTTGTCAGAAAAGTCATGATGCATTTTTGCAACGAAAAACATAGAAAAAATACGTCATGACTTTTCCGACAACCCAATATTTTAAATATATACTTAATCTCCATTGAAGATATCCTTATGTATTACAACAGGTATCCATGAGACACTGAAATATTTTTATGACAGACTATGAAAATTTTTCTCCATAGAATTATATTCCTCCAGGTACCTGGTCTAGCAAATTAGACTTGATGGTTTGTACTTCCTTTCCTTACTCCTGTTTTTTCCGCTCAGTTTTCTTAAGGGACTGCCCTAAAACTTCAAACTCAATAAGCCTAATTGGGAAAAAAATAACCAAATGTAATGGTATAATGAAATTCTTCATTTCCAAACATCTCTTAATCATTTTAAAACTCATTTGAACCTATGCACTGAACAGAGACAGACCCATTAAAAACTAAGAATTTAAAATGTTCACAACTGGTAGAGATTCTTTCAGTTTGAAAGGATTTGAGATCTATATATTTTAATAAAAGTTTCAAATGAAATATAGCTATTTGGGAATTCAAGCACATGCATACTGTACTTAATATTATTTACTTTTAACATTTAATTTATCACTATCCTTATCAATATTGACTTTAAGAACTCCATTTCATGCAATGCAAACCAAAATATATTTTCAAAGAAATATATAGAACTAGCATTTTTTTCAGCTCACTTCCCTTTTCTAATCCTTTGATAAAAAATTTATTATGCGTAACTGATTATACATATTCATATTTCATTGATTATGAGCCATCCACTTTTTCTTTTTTTTAATTTTAATTCAAGTTTATTGGGGTGCCAATTGTTAGTAAAGTTACACAGGTTTCAGGTGTACAGTTCTGTAATGCATCATCTGTATATCACATTGTGTGTTCACCACCCAGAGTCAGTTCTCCTTCCATCATCATGTATTTGATCCCCTTTACCCTCATCTACCATCCCCCTCCCCCCTTACCCTCTGGTAACCACTGAACTATTGTCTGTGTCTATGAGTTTTTGGTTCTTCACTTGTCTTGTTCCTTTGTTGTTTTCAGTATTATATATACCACATAGTGAAATCATATGGCTCTTGACTTTTTCTGTCTGACTTATTTCGCTTAGCATAATAATCTCAAGATCTATCCACTTTTTCAATATAACATCTCTGAAATTGTGATGTATCTTGCAACCATTGGCACATTAGATGCAGTATTGAAAGTTGTGCTTGAATAAATATTACACTAATTCATTTTTAAGTAAATGTTCATGGGTATAGGCACATTCCTTTCTTACAAATATTTGAGAATTTCTTTAACATATGAGCCAGTTTCCAGTACAAGTGAATCACATACAATTCAACATGGAACCTGACTCTGATTATGAGCTCAGATCCTGCAGATCTTTAGGTTATAAAAGCTCTTTCAGCCTCCTGTTTACACTTTATACAAGTGGCTATGATTTCTGCAAACCCTAACTTAACTGACAAGAATGATTTGGTTTCTCCCAGTTTTGTTAACAAATTTTTATTCTTTCTATTCCTTTGAAAAAAATATTTTTATACTATCATCTCACTTTTAAACAGAATTAACTGGAAGGATATTACAAGAAACCATTATAATTAGATTTTGCAGAATCTCGTATGTCTTATGTCAATGACAGGAGAAAAATATAATACAACCAATCAGTGCTGTAGGAAAAATAACTTTCCTTTTGAGACCTATTTTTTTTTATTCTTTAACATTTCTGTTCTTTTGATTTTTTCCTTTGGCTCTGATAAATTTACCTTCAATCCCATGTAATGACTGTCATGAAATTATGTATTTAAATTATTAGATTTATATTAAACACTTGTTCAGCTATCTGGGCAGATATTATCTGGGCATGAAATATGTGAAAGTAACAACACTACTCTTTTATCTACCTGTAATATTATCCTGCATAAAATTTATCCTTGTAAGCTAACTCTATTAATCAGGTTTCTAACCTCTACAACCTACTTCAGTTAAAATTATTTAAACCAACAATAAAAAAAAAAAAAAAACTGCAGTCACCAAGGATGGAAAATGTGATTTATATATATAAAGAACCTTTACAAACTTTACACTGTACCACAGATAAATGTGATTTTGATATGAATTTCACACAATGACAAGTATGGTACATAAATCTTATTAAGAATATTGAATATAAAATATTTTAATTCTAAATTATAAGAAAATATAAATTTGCATATATTAATATAGAAATTCATTTTGTGTATATTTAACATAACTTTAAAACTATTTTACATTTACCAGCTACTTCATTAAAGTTATTTAAACCTCTGCAAAAAATTTAGAAATGTTTTTAAGTTATCAGTAATATAACCTTATTTGTTTCATTTAACAAGTCTTGCCTTTGTAAAAAAAAAAATTTAATAGAGTGTATTTTTAAATTAAAATATTTGAATATAAAATAGCTCTAAGATGAATTCTCACTAAACAAGTTTCTTATTATTTCTGGCTTTGAATTATACATAAAATTAAATTGTCTTCACACAAAAGATTGGGGTATATGATCATTTCACATAATATACTATGAAGCTGTTCACATAATTCTGATTGACTACTAACTTCTGTTTTATGTATTTATTAAAGAGCTGACACTGTAGTTGTGAGATGTCTATTTTTCTGACAGAGCTTATAACAGTTATGACAAGACATTTAATTAATACATCATTCTGTTTAAAAGTAGGTGTTAATCAATATAAAATTTTGTTGTAAAATAAAAATGTAAAGATCTAAGAATTCTCCTTTATTTACCATGATGTGCTACATGACCCTCAGAGCTGCCAGACAACAGCATAGTGTCACATGAAGAAATGCAATAACGTTGATATATTGTCAATGGTAGTGATTGTTACATAATTCCAAAAACTACTACTTTTAGAAAATTGCAGAGCCAATCCTAGTTGCTCTATTTCCCTTTTGATAGCTGCCCAATAATGGAAGCAGAAGGAGTATCCTAATTACAAAGAACTGAAAAATTAGCTAAAAGATAAACCAGGTTTTTTTCTACCAGCCAGAGATTTCTACTATCACCTTGATACAAATATAACGTGTTCATAAACTCGATAGCACTTTCTCAAAAGCCTTATTTAATTAAACTACTGAAATTTATGAAATACCCATGTTGCGATTTTTCTTAATTTAACCTAAGGGAGAGAGTAAAACAGATGAGGGAACATGATAACAGTTAAATAAGACATGTAGGCAGATTCCCCGTCCTTTACACGAATTTTAAGAGTTTGAAGGAAAAGATGTGTGTGGCAAACCTATAGAAAGAAGGGTGTGCTAGAGAGATCAGAGGCAAGCTATCAAAAGGTCTCACAAGGTCTTTCTTTTTGAGAATTCATCCCAGCTGGGTGTGAGCTACAGTCTTTGAGGCTCAGAATCCTGACTTTGTTGTGACTCTTGTTTGGCCCCTTTCTTCCCTTCCCCCTTTAGTAATACCTAGGACCCATCTCCTGAGTTTCAATAGAGCACGCAACTGAGACTTCACTACCCAGACTCCTTTGCAGCTCAGTGTAGTTACAGGACTAAATGTTGGTCAGCGGAATGGGAGAGGAAATGATATGTGCAACCCCAGATCTCACTGCCTTTTTCTCTATTTTTGTTGTGTGGAACAACTGAAGCAGCTGTCTTAGCAAAGGAATTGTCAGAGCATCCCCTTCAGCCATCAAATGCTCACCTCAAGACATCCCTGGTAGGGAAACAGTCTCTTTCTACCTAAACCATTACACATTTGATGTTACATCAGATAATCTGTAATGACGTATTCCTTATATAATTGTCTCATTGAATCCTTAGCAATACTAAATACCATTTTCCTTAATTTTTCAAATGAGGAAGACAAGGCACAGTGGTTAAGGACCTTGTATAAATGCAGCCAGTAAGTGGCTAAGGCAGGATTCACACCCAGATCTGCTTTTCTCTCCATAAATGACTGATCATATATGAAGACAGATTTTACATAGTTTAACTATGTCCCCATTTCCCAAAAAAACATATGCAATAAAGTTAAGAAGCTAATATATGTGTATAAATACTAAACAGGAAGAAGTAAATAGACCTTAAAAATGAAAAACAAAATGGTAAGTGCACTCAGATGCTAGACTTAGACTGGATCAGGTCCGTGGAGAATAGCATTTGGCTTAAGCCTTGGAGGAAAGGTGAGTGTGGACATGCAGAAAGGTGAGGTCAAGGAGAGCTAGGGGAATGGTGAAGCAGAAAAGAGTGGGGATTCCATCCAAGAATACTGAAACATTGTTGAGATGCAGCATTGGATAACGAAAGGCAATTGACACACAGGTCCTAGGTTATTAATTTCCAGCTAAGAGGTTTGAACTTTGGTTACTAGGAAAAGCAAGCCCTGAAGTCTTTGCACAGAAAAGTTATATTATTAGAATTATATATGATTTAGCCTGTATTTACATAAATAAATATAATTTTTAATTAAACATTAATTTATACCCTCTAATACTAAGTGTGAATACTATCTAACACTATTAAATATTTAATGCTCTTAAATGTTACTTAATACTAAATTTAATTACTATTTAGTACTAGCGTAAAAAAATGGAAGCATACAAGCAGAAAAAAAATTCAAAATCCCACTTCCTACTAGCAATCACTTTCACATGAGGGCATATATTCATTTATTTTATTATGCACTTTACAACTTTTATTGTGCTGATGATGCATATTTATTGTAAGACATCCTAAAATACATGTTACTCCAATCCAACCACCCAGAGTTGACCACTGTGATAGACAGATGGATAGATGATAGATAGATAGATAGATAGATAGATAGATAGATAGATAGATAGATAGATAATCTGTTTGTAATTAGGAAAGGCATGTACTATAAATAGTTTGGTATAAAGATTTTTTTTCCTTCAAAAACATTTTAAACATTGTCCATGTCAAGATTTAACAATTGTTTTAATAGATGGATATATCCCACCCATGAATGTGCTACAATCATAGCTCTTAAGTTCATTGAGAAAAAGAATGAGCAGGAAATGATACCACATATAAAACACTGGTTAACAACTTCAGTATTCAAAAAGAGGAGATTGGTTAAATACACTTTTTTGAATGGGAGAGATCTGCATTTTATAATGGCAGAGAAAAAGGAGCCAATATAGAGAGAAATATTTATGTTGGGAAGTTTTGGATTGGTCTAAGGTACAACAGAGAAGCGTTTCAAATTGCGACAAAGAGGAGTCAGTCAAATAAGCTTGGAAAATTTTCATGAGGAAGTAAAGAGAGG